TTGCCCATTAGTGGCCACTTCATGTCTATCACTTGCCCTTTCGCGGCCATGTATTCATTTTTTGTCTTGTCATTTTTCTCCCTCGCTTATCACTGTCTGTTCATGCGCTGTGCATTGTTCTCGGCCCTTCCATCTCGCCAGAGCACATGCTCTTAAGGTAAGCCTCACCAGCCCATGTCTTCAGTCGTGTGTTGAGCGCTTTCTGTGTCACACCTTCTCAAATAAACCCTTATCCCGCCGTCACCAGGCNTGTGTCACACCGTCTCAAATAAACCCTTATCCCGCCGTCACCAGGCCTCCCTCTCTCTCTCCCTTCAACCGAGCCAAGCCGCCGCACTCCCTCTCTCCATCTCTCCAACCGAGCCAAGCCGCCGGACTCTACCCTCTCCCAGTTGAACCCGCGCGCCCTAACCGAAGCCGTTCAGCTGTAATCTCAGACACTCGGCGACAAGCCCACTTCAAACTCTGCTACTCTCACCCCCCCAGCCACGCCACAATTTTTCAAAACCCCTCCATACGATTCAAGAAAAGGTCTTTAAAATTATTTTAAGACCAAAACCAAAATTTTAGGNCAACAGAATATGACAAAGGCGCTTTGAAAACTGTATCCTATGCCAAAAAGTATTATTTGTTAGCAGAAGCAACTGTAAAGCTCTGGCAAGAAGAGTCGACACAATTGTTAAGTGATGAAAAAACGAGACAACATGATGAAATCAATGCTTACTAATGTATAGGAATAGCTTTACACAACGACTATACAACGTTTTCTAATTAGCAGCAACTGCTGTCTGCTTTAGATTAGCTATGAAATATGTTCAAACAGTAGCGTTTGCAATCACTAGAATATTCTACTTAATGGCAATAATGCAATAAAAAGTTAGCTAATGACTTTTTCAATTTTTTGTTTTGTTAATAATTCAGTTTCATTTGTAATTATTTTAGGTACAGTAAAGACATTTGATGCAATGATAAAAACATGCGTTTTTTAAAATTTTGTTGCATTTTTTGTTAAATTTCCACGTTTTTATTGGCATAAAAGAAAATACCAATTCATAAAAATTTTGGACAAACAACCAATAGTTAAATACATGATGCAAAAAACTAAATTAAAAAACGCATTCAAAGTTTTACATTTTTCTCAATGTAAACCGTTGTTACCATTTGTATAAAACAAAAATATACTTTTTGCAAGTTATTGCATTCTTGTTTTTAGATAGTTAAATTAATCATTGCCACGCTAACACTGAACATTTTGTGAGTGCAAGGAACAGAAAAAGGCATTGATGCCAAAACTAATTTGCTTAAGAGCAATAATCTTTTCACCCTCTGGTAGGATGCAAACAAATTACTGTTACTTCGTTTCTAATACAATTTGCTAGTTTTTTGCAGTTTATTGAAAAAGTGAATGATTGTGAAACTTTTTCCCTTTTCTTGTGAATTCGCCAACAAAGACTGGCATTTGATGTATTAGCTTCAATCAACACCAATTAAAGTGGTCACAACTTTTCGATGCTGGTCCAGTTCATCCTCGGTGCACTTAGACTGGACAAAAAGGACAGTGATGCTGTTGACTGGAACCAGCTTTTGCTGACCAGTGTTGAAGCCTTGAACCAATCATCAATTGGAAGCAGCATCAGAACAGCAACAATATATCGCTCAAATGGAAAACTTTAGCGTCAAGTGGCAATCTGTGTCAATTGGCGGACAGCGACTACTACTACTACTACTACTACAACTACTTTTAGTGCGCTTCTCACTGGCGGCGTTTCACAATTGAATGACACTGAGTTTGTGACAGTGAGCCGGTGCTGACACCAGGCAGCCCTATCAAGCAAGGTCTGCCAGTGATGCTTAATGCATTTGGACCATTCCGAAACACATGAACAAAACTACTGCGACTACTTCTAGAAAACATGCTTTCATAAACAGCCTACACACGACAGTTTTTGGTGGTGGTGCCGGTGGTGCCAAGCAAACAAAACGGGCAGTTGACAACGAAAAATGAAATCGTACGTAGTCGCAGACATGGAAAAGTACTCTGCTGGGCATTGTCACATTGAACGTGTACGTGACAAGTAAGTCGTCCATTCCTCAGTGTTCACTGTGTCTTCACCAGGATTGTCGCTGTTTGGTGGTGGTGATGGTGGTGGTGATGGTGCTGCACGGCACCATAATATGGTGGAAAAGAAAAACAGAGAAGACTGGCAGGTGTTGCACAACATTGGCCACATGTATAGTGTGATAAAGATAATGCGTCCACTTGATTAGACACTGGTCGTTAAAAACCAGTGATTCTGAAAAAATGTAGCAAAATGACTAATGGATTTTCGCTTTTTTTAGTTCAGATACTTTTTTTATATTTTAGTTTTGTTCTCTTTTTTCTTCTCCCAACAATATTTTTTGTTTATTTAATAAAACAAAAACAAACATTAAACAACTTTAAGTGGTAAAAATTTCAAAACCCCGATGTTTGTTGTTAAATAAACAAGCTTTACGCTTTTTGATAAATGGCAAATTAGCAAAAATTTTTTGGAAAAAAACTATATAAAAACAAGTTTATTTTTGTTATTTTAAAATATAAACAAATAAAAACTTTTTGTGTTTTTGGTATATCAATCATCAATATTTTGAATTTGTTTGTCTACTAATTCAATTGTATAAAATATCAATTTTTTCAAGTGAGAAGCTAAATGTTAATTCAAACATGTATAGAACAAACAATGTTAAAACATTACAAAAAAATGTAATTTTAAAACGAATGTTGTTTGTGATACAAAAATGAGACGTGCAAATCAGTAACAAATAAAAATGTTGTGATAAAAAATAAAAACAACAACAAATTATTGCTTTTAAAGTTGCAGTGTTGTTGATGTTTTTGTAAAAATACAAAGTGCAATATTGAACTACACAAAAATGTGTTGTTATATCAACAACAATTTAAATATCTATGAGATCAATGATTTGCTGATCAAAATGTTGCAACAAAGCAGTGGACAAATTGTAAAAATATTAGATTTGTTCAAAAATTATTGAGTTGGAAAAAACAGAAATGTAGCTACTTGGAATTTTTGTTCTAATGCAAAAAGTTTTATTATTGTTGTTTATCAAATTCAGTTTAGAAAAATAAATAGTAAAAGATCACAATGGGGACTTTGTGTCAGAACCTGTGTCCTCGTATCAGTAGTAAAACATCAACTAGAAATGAGTGAGGGTAAGGTTGAGTGCATCTAGGTACAAAAAATTAAAGTAACAGCTAATTTTAGTTTTGGTGCTTTTTAATGGTAGTAAGAATGTGTGAAGAATAGTTTTTAGTGGAAAAATTAAAATAAAAGGAGGGTTTTTTAAATAACAAATACTGTGTCACTTTTACTGTACAACTCAGCAAAAATTAGTGATGCTGAGCGGTAGTGGTGGTCGTGGTGGTGGTGATGGGAATGACTGCTGATGGTAATGACCTTTGGGTAGTGATGCCGTGAGAATGACTGCGACAGTGATGATGAAGTGCTAATGAGGAGGCTTTGACTTTCTGTTTTTCATTTGGTGTTCGCATAGGAATAGGAGGCAATGGCAGCGCTTCGGGACTGATTGGCGCACCCATTGGCCGGAACGGAGGAGGCAGCCCCACCGCTTGTGCCACTGCTCGAATAGTTGGCCGACGTCGGGCCTATTGAGTAAGATTCAGTGGGACTGGCAATGACCGTCTGTGAGGATTGCTGAAAGTCACCTCCCATGAAGGCGGAAGAGGAGGAGGCAAGGCCAGGGCCCCCACCAGGACCCGCTGGACCACCTGCTTCCTCAGCAGCTCCTCCTTTGCCTGCTCCAGCACTATTGGCAAGAGTATTCAGCGTGACCAGCGAGCTGGACTTGGTGATGCGCAGCTGCTCCATGTCGTCCATTTCATTGATCGCCTCCTGGAGGTCGTCGACGAAGCGCTGCTGGTCGAGGTCGTTGCGGGCGTTGAAGCAGGCGATGATCTTGTTGTCCACCCGGCGGCTGATGCGGATGCCGTTCGGGTAGTAGGCGGTGGAGAAGACCAACACCTGGAGGCCGTCCAGCGGACAGGAGGAGCGGTACTGGTACTCCGCCAGCTGGCCATTCCGAGACCGAGAAGTGGTCTTCGTGATCAGCAGCAGGTCGTTGAAGAGGAAGACGTCACGCTGATGCTGGCCGACCTTTTCGCGGCGGTTCAGGTCGCGAATCTCATAGAGGCGACAGTAGCAGACCAGGCGGCGGTGGGGCACGCACAGGTTTGGGGTGTCCTTGCCGATGATGGCTATTCAGTTGATGAAAAGGAAAAGCAGAAGGGGGGAAACGATAAAGAGGGATTAGAAAAAGAGAGTAAAGAGGTACTTGAATGGCGCAGACCACTTCACTGCAAATGGTGCGGCCATTCATTTCTCCGCCGGAAAAAAGCAGCTCTCTTTTTCCCCCTGAACACTTACTCGACTGCACCTTGAGCACCTGCGTTACATGGTCGCCCCCCGTCTGCAGCTCTTGCTTCTTGATGCGCTTGTAGATGCCGAGGAGGAACTGCGAGGAAAGGTCGCCCTCCTGGAAGACGCCCTTCAGATTGGCCAGCCACTGCTCGGGCGTCATGCGGTGCTTGATGTTCGTCGGCTTGTGCAGATCAGTGTTCAGCATGATGATGGCGAAGGCGAGAATGAAGATGGAGTCGCGCGAGAGTACGTCCCCGGGGTTGCACTCTTTGTAGCGGTCGGCGAAGGACTCCACTAGACGCTCAATCTTTTGAGCCTCACCTGAATTAGTTGGAAGGGAAGAAAGGAAGGAAGAAAGGGGAAACAAAATAATGGCGTAAACTTAGTTTCACGGTGTTCAAACGACTATTGGCTACAGCCAGCGCTGAGCTGGTTCCGTTTCTCTTTTTTTCTCTCTTTCTTTTTCTTTCTTTCTTTCAGTTTGTTTGCTTTCGCTGTTGTGCAAGTGAAAGGCAGCAACAACAGCAGCAGGCTTGAAAAACAGACAGGCAGAGAGGCAGGCAGGCAGGCAGACACTTACCGGGAAATCTAAAGTGCACTTGAAATGATCTCAACGCCTCGTCGACGATGATACCCGTCAAGTTGACACCACCGCAGAAGCTCTTGAGCACCTGGCGGTTGAAGGGCGCCGGCTCGCTAATGTACTCGCCAATCATCTGCCGCGAGAGGCCCTTTCGGGTGAGGAGAAAGTGGGCCACGTAGCTGGCCTGCGTCTCGCTGCTCTCCGACTGTTCGATGTAGCCATTGGCGATTAGAAAGCGAATGCCCCGCTCTGAGGGCGTCTTATTGAAGAGATTGAGGCCCACGCGGTACTGCCGCTTGCGGTAGGCGTCCACCGAGCTGCTCACTGCTCCTTCAGCCGTCGTCGTTGCGGCTGCTGCTGCTGAAGTTGCTGCTGCCGCCGCTGCATTGCCCGTCGCAAAGTCAACAGTCGGTGCAAAGGAGACGGTGTTGCCCGTTGCTGCTGCTACATTAGCTGTTCCAGTCACTGCCGTGCCATTGCCGTTGCCATTGACAGTGCCGGCAATCATCATATGGTGACTGGTGGTCCTGTGAATCGATGGCTGCTGCTGCTGCACCGATAAACTAGAGTTTGACTGAAGGTGGATGGCACTGCTGTGCTGCTGTTGTTGTTGCTGTTGTTGTTGCTGCAATTGCTGCTGAGAGTTCTTTTGCATTCGCTGCTTGTTCAGCAGTTGAGGCTGTTGTTGTTGTTGTTGAGATCGGGCGGCGGTGGTGGTGTTTAGGTTTTGGGCGTAATTTGATGGTACACCGCCTGACAGCGGCAGGCGGCTCATTGAAGAGTGCACATCGGAAGGTTTGGAGGAGGCAGAGGAGGAGGCGTGCAGAGAGGTGGAAGAGCCGCCTGATGAGGTGGAGGAGAAGGAGGTCTTCTTCTGCAGTCCGCTGCTCATCTCCTGCTGCCCATCAATTTGGTGGTGATGGTGGTGGTGGGGGTGGGGGTGATGGGGGTGAGGGTGATTTTGGGGCTGGTAATGCTGCTGGACGATCACGGTGTGCTGATTACTGTGCAAATTGCCTCCCGAGCTGTTGTACAGCAGTCCGGATGACTGTGCAGTGTAGACGGGCTCGTAGCTGGTGACCAGCGTCACCGGGGGTGACGCTTGTCGAGGAATGGACAGGTACTGCTGCTGCTGCTGATGCTGAACTAAAGGCAGCATCCCTGAGGCAGCAGTTGACTGAAGGGTCTGCTGGTGCTGCAGCTGCGACTGCATCCGCACCAGGTCATCGAGGGCGTAGTTGGCGGACATCTTCCGGGAGAAGCGGTGCTGCATTGCCTCCCGGTCAATGGGCGACAGGCTGACTGAGCTGTCCTTCACCTTCAGCCCAGCCTTCTCGCCCATCTTCGGCATCAGCGGAGAGGTGGCGGTCACCTCGACGACGACGCTCTCCTTTCGGGCACCTGACAGTTGCTGTTGCTGCTGTTGCTGTTGCTGTTGCTGCTGTTGTTCCCGCTTCATCTGCTCCTGTTCCTTCTGCTGCTTCAGCTGCTGATGGCAGATGGCCTGAATGGCGAGCGTGGTGAAGCGCTTCTGCAGGCGGTAGGAGCGGAAAGCCCGCTGAATGGTAATGGCCGCCTCACGGGCCTCCCTGCCGCCGTACTTGCGCTCCAGTGCGCTTGTCTGCTTGTCCAGCAGTTGCTGCGACAACTCGTAGCCGTACGGGGCGCCGCCGCCTCCACCGCCGCCATTCGAGCCACCGGCGCTCAGCGAGTTGGAGCTGCCGCCGCCGGCGCGCACCGTTCGCAGCAGATTGGAGGAGGGGTGGGCGTGATGAGGGTGA